ATGATGTAAAATGTAAATTTTATTTAAAAATTGTTTGCAAATTGTATTTTTAATTTTTAAAAATTTGTAGATACATAGTTTAATTGCATTTCCAAATATGTCAATATTTGTCAATGACATTATCTCTAAAATACATAATTGTAAATTCTTTATTACTTTTTTTGCAATTTCCAAACTGTATAACAAAAAAATTTAACAAAGATTAGATTACAATGAATTACATAAAATTAACAAGTGCACTAATAAGAAAAAAATTGTGTGAATGAAAGGTAGTCAAATAAAATTACAAACACATTTTGGGGATAAAATTTAAAAATTTTTAAGCGTTAAAAAGTTTCATGATCAATGTCCACTTGTTATCAGCAAAGTGCTACTAGCATTTTTATGATCCAATTGACGTTTTTGCACCGGTCGTCCATAAAATATGAGTTGAGTTAATATAAGTGTCCAGTAAAAAAAATAATTTTTTAGTTGTTAGTTAAAACAATTAATCTAATTACAATTCAAAATTTAAAAAATGTTTAAATTTTTGTTTTTAATTTATATTTTATGTTTTATAAGTAATTAGTTTATTTTTTATAAAGAGTGACAACAGTTTTCCATACTCAATCGCCCCAAAATTTTCTTATACTCAAAAATTATTGAGTTGCACATCGTTGAAAAGCTAAAATTCCCCTGATTACTAATATGTAAAAATCTGAGTGGAGCCCGAAACGGTTCCCGAGAAAACTGGGTCTGAACTGTACCTTTGGCTGTGCTTTGTCCATTGCTCCTTATGCCATCTAGCGGGTCAAAGCCGTTGCGCTGTTGACAAACTGCATATTTTGATAAACTTGGGACCCGATTTTCTCTGGAACCGTTTTGGGCTCCATTCAGATTTTTACATATTAGTAATCAGGACAATTTTAGCTTTCCGATGATGTGCGACTCAATAATCTTAGAGTATAAGAAAGTTTTGGGGCGAGTTTGTTGTCACTCTTTGTTTAAAATGTTTTAATTTTTGTTTTAATAAATTTTAGAATTTTCAAAATCCGCTCATTTACCTGGAGCTGTGCAAAATGACTGGACATATGAAAGTCAGTATTTTTAAAACATTTTCAATGCAATAATAAACAATCAATGTTAAAAACAGATGAAAACATTTGGCAAACTGGCTATCCTGAATGTGGTTTAACAAATCAGTCTCCTATTGATATCACTTCAAATGTTCTCGTATCAAATGCCAGTCTGCGAATTGACTTTCTAGGCTACAACCAGTTGATCAGTCAGTTTGATGTGTCTAACACAGGCCATGCAATTCAATTTAGTTACGTTGGGGAACCATCAGAGGCGCCCCAAATAACTGGAACTGCTTTATATGGAGACACGTTAACTCTTTCACAATTGCACTTTCACTGGGGACAAGCCGATAATGCTGGTTCTGAGCATCGAATCAACGGAAAGCCGTTTGAACTAGAGGTAAGTTGAAAAATAAACAATTTGTCTATAAACACATTAACTTTGTTTTGCAGATTCATTTGGTGCATTATAACCGAGACAAATATCCAACTTTCAATGATGCACTAAACGCTCACAATGGCGTAGCTGTTGTGGCAGTTTTTTACATGGTAATTGTTTTTAAGTAAAATGCTTGGTATTTGTTGTGTCTCATATAATTTTATGCTTTCAATTTAAGATTGACGAAAAAAATGTCGAAGAACTGGACAACATTGTTGAAATGGTAAACGAAGTAGCTTCCAGTGG